ACCGAGGAAGGAAGATAGGTCCTGCGAGTTAGGTCTCGCCATGGCCAGAGGCTTGGGGAGAGGAGTGGCCTTCCCACCGCTGGTGAAGAGCTGAGCCAGGGTCTGCCCTCGGGCTGGGCTGAACCCTGAGCCCATCATCTTAACACTGGGCTAGGGTAGAGCTTCAGGGATGAGGGCAGCTGGAGAGTTCTTCTTCCAGAACAGGCGGGGGCATGTGCAGGCTCAAGTGAGGCTCAAGGAAGCTGTGGAAGGCCAAGGAGCATACCTGGTGCTGGGAGGGGTGGCCCCCTGGGGCAGCACGGGAGAACCTGCCAGCCTGATGGTTTGTCACTTGTCTTTGCTCAGCTCAGTCCTGTGCTGAGAAAGGACCTGGAGAAGGAGTGTGAAAAAAGTAAACTGGTCCAGAGAGTCTGGAACATGGGGTGGCATGGGCAAGGGGCCTGGGGTCGGGTCCTGGCTTTTTGCAGAAGCTGCCTTGGCTAAGGACTTTGCCCCTCTGAGTCACAAGTTTTCTCCTCTGTCAAGTGGAAGTGACGGCGGTAGCATCTGCCTCCTCCCAGGGCCACTGTGAGAAGTGAAGGAGATAGAAGGGGATAGCGTGGTTGGTTGGTGCATGACGCATGAGCCCCCTTCCCCTTACCTGTCAGGGCATTCAGGAGAATCCAGAATATGCATGGTGCCTAAGACAAGGAGGTGCTGAGGGGAGGCAGGGGCTCTGGCATTCTCACAGAGCAGGTAACCTGAAACCTTCCAGCTTCAAACTCCTTTGAGATGCACAGATGAATTCACAGGAAATGAAGAGGGTGAGCTGGAGAGGAGATAAGCATGGTCTGTATAACCACTTCTCTCAATTTTGTACTGGATGTCTTGCCGGTGCAAAAAGGCAAATAACAAAAATAAAAAGTATTAAGTTTAGAAAGTAAGAAATGAAATTGTCATTTTTCACAGATGACAGAAAATCCTGAAGAACCTACAGATAAATGATTAGAATTAATATGGGGATTTTAAAGGTCAGAATACAAAATTAACTGTATTATTATATGCCAGCAACAAATGATTAGAAAATTAAATTTGAAAAACAGTCCAATTTACAATAGCATTAAAACACTTCAAATATCAGGGCGCCTGGGTGGCTCAGTCGTTAAGCGTCTGCCTTCAGCTCAGGTCACGATCCCAGGGTCCTGGGTTGGAGCCCTGCATCCGGCTTCCTGCTCTGTGGGAAGCCTGCTTCTCCCTCTCCCATTCCCCCTGCTTGCGTTGCCTCTCTTGCTGTGTCTCTCTCTGTCAAATAAATAAATAAAATCTTTATTAAAAAAAAACTTCAGATATCTAGAAATATAGTTAAAGAAAGATGTACAAGATCTTTGCCCATGAAAATACATAATATTCTTGGCAGAGATTAAAGAAGACAAAAATAAATGAAAGAATAGACCATGTTCATTGATTGGAAGACCCAGTATTGTAAAGATGTCACCTGTCCAGATTGATCTATAAATTCTATACATTTCTCATCAAAAAACAAAGAGAAAACTGAAAAATGGTAGGATGAGTGTAGGCTGATGCTGAGGCTTCCCTTTTGGGGTGGTAGCAGGAATGAGGGTGTTAGCTGGTCTCTAACCAAGGGCTTGGGTTTTAATAGCTTAAGGATACAGGAGATGATGCCCCTTATACTTTCCCCAGTTGGAACTCACACCCCAGCAGAAAGCCAGGACCTTTAAAAAGATATACTCTCAGTGAAAGTGGGGATTTAGAAAATATCTGTGCATCTACCAAAGAGAGAGCCTGTCTGTCTCAACTAGGTCTTGGGTGGTCTCCTTTGAGAATTTGTGACCTGAGATGTGCCCCTTGGTTCTGTCGAAGGTTGTAATTCACACTACGCCCCTGGTTCCAGAATCCCTGAGCCAAGGTGTTGGTAATGATGCCTTGGCAGACACTGAGGGGAAGGAATTGCAAATGCTCTCTGGACCCTGGAGGGACCTGCTCGCAACCAGGCTGAATAAGATTTCCACAGATAAAGCCCCACTAAAGATGAGCTCACAATCTAACAATTACCAAACACATGAGGAAATAGTTCCCTGGGAGGGAGAGTCATCAATGTCCCAGACAGCAGAAACAGCCCTCAAGAGTCTGAGATAATAGAAGACTGAGTAACAGATAAACATTGAAAAGATTTAAAATTATTAGAGACATAAAAGGCACAATAGAAAAGGACAGAACAGCATATGAAAGCAGAATGAGAATATAAGCAAAAGGACCAAACAAAGCTTTCCAAAACCAAAAATGTACTCGTTGAAATCAAAAGATCATTGGAATTGGGAAGATTTGAATATGGAGTGGGTATTAAATTAATAATTACGGAATCATTTTAATTTTATAAGGTGTGATAATGGTATTTTTGTTGGATAAGAAATATGTTCCTATTTTTTTAATGCATACTGAAATATTTAGAGGTGTAATTTCATCATGTCTGGGGTTTGTTTTAAAGTATTTCAACATAGAGGGGAGCCTGAGTGGCTCAGTGGGTCAAGCGACCAACTCTTGGTTTCAACTCAGGTCATGATCTCAGGGTATGAGATGGAGCCCTGCCTTGGGCTCTGTGCTTAGCTCAGAGTCTGCTTGAGACTCTCTCTACCTCTCCTTCTGCCCCTCTCTCCTGGTCACACAAACACACACACACACACACACACACTCTAGCAAATAAATAAATAAATCTCTAAAAAATAATAAATGTAATAAATAAAACAAAATATTTCAACATAGATAAAAATATATGGAATAAATATGACAGTGTTAATAATTGTTAAAACTAGATGTTGGGTAAATAGGACTCATTATACCAGTGGTTCTCAAACTTCAGTGTGAACAGAGTCACCTTTGCCAAACACAGATTATTGTATCTGACAAAGGACTTGTATCCAGAATATATAAAAATTTGATAACAAGAAAACAACCCAACTTAAAAATGGACAAAAACTTTGGATAGACACTTCACCAATGAAGATATGTATGGATGGCAAATAAGGAGAAGCATACGACATCATTAGTCATTAGGCAAGTGCACATTTAAAACCACAATAAGAGGGACGCCTGGCTGGCTTAGTCGGTGGAGCATGTGACTCTTGATCTCAGGGTTGTGAGTTCCAGCCCCACGCTGGGTGTAGAGTTTACTTAAAAATAAAATCTTGGGGCGCCTGGGTGGCTCATTCATTAGGCATCTGCCTTCGGCTCAGGTCATGATCCCACAGTCCTGGGATCGAGCCCCACATCGGCCTCCCTGCTCAGAGGGAAGCCTGCTTCTCCCTCTCCCACTCTCCCTGCTTGTGTTCCTTTTCTCACTTTGTCTCTCTCTGTCAAATAAATAAATAAAATCTTAAAAAAAATCTTTAAAAAAGCCACAATAAGAAACTTCTATATATCTATTAGAATGTCTAGAATTAAAAAAAAAAAACAAAACCCTAACTAACATTGCCAAATGCTGGTAGAATGTGAAGCATTCATCCATTACTGGGGGACATGCTCCCCTCTATGTTGCAGCCACTTTGAAAACCAGATGGGCAGTTTCTTACAAAGTTAACCTCATCCTTACCATATGACCCAGAATCCCCATTCCTGGATATTTACCTAGGTGGAATGGAATGTGATGTTGAAACAAAAACTTGTATGCAGATATTTATTACGGCTTCCTATGAAATCACCCCACACTGGAAAGAGTGGAAATGTCTTTCAACAGGTGAATGGCTAAGCACACAGTACATCATCCCTGCAATTGAACACCAGTCAGCAATAAAGTGGAACAGACTACTGATCCATGAAAAAACATGTGTGAATCTCAAATGATGATGCTAAATGAAAGAAACTATACTCCAAAGCCCACACACTATGATTCTATTTATATGGCATTCTAGGGAAGCCAGAATTATTTAGAGAGAAAACAGAGTTGGGGGTGGGGGTGAGGCAGGGACTGTCTACAGAGGGGCAGCAAGGGAGAATTTTGGGGGCGACGGAAATGTTCTAAATCCTGACTGTGGTGGTGGTCAGGACACATTTCCCAAAACCCAGAGAAAAGCACACCACAAAGAATTAATTTTAATGTCTATAAGATTTTAAAAATAGATGAAAATATAAGTTAGGGTAAAACACTAAAACATACGCACCTGCAGATTGCTGAACCCCACCCTCCAAGTTTCTAATTTACTCCGTCCTAGGTGGGGCCCAAGAATTTGCATTTCTGACAAGTGCCCAGATGATGCTGGGCTAGGGACCCTCCTTTGAGAACCTCTGCGTTGTACTAGTCTATTTTCCTTATGTTTGAAATCTATGACAAACTTCTCCAAGCATTAAAAAGGCTAATGTTACTGCAAATGAGACATCCCCGAGAGAGACAGAAGTAGGAAATGTGATAGAGAGAGGTGATGGGCCGTGGGAGAGAAAAATGCAAAGTCCCAAGGAATATCCATTAAGCGTTTCGTAAGAGAGGGAAGGAAACAACACTTAAAGAAATAATAAGAGAGTGTTTTCTAGAATTAAAACTAAAGGAGACAGACTTATCTCTGGCTGCCTAGCATGTCTGAGAATATGAATTGTAAACCCTAAAGTTCAGTCCTCAAGAAGAAGCACTAACTGGGTCCGTTCAAGATTGAGTTCGCTCACGGTGGGCCCTGTCTCACATGTGCGGTGGGACCTGTGCGTGAGAGAGCTGCCTGTCCCAGCGGGTGTGCAAGCACGCCCCGGGCAGTGGAGTCCGCAGACCTGCATTCTAATTCAAATTGCACAACTCTGTGCACACACAGCACAAGCTGTGTGCCTGGGGGCCTGAGTAGTCCCGCTGGGATCCTGAGCTCCTTTATTTGTACGGTGGAATAATCCTGCCCATAATTACGTTGTGGAGATGGTTACCCACAGAACAGCTGTGAAGCTCCCTGTATATCATCGCTGTTCAGAAGGTTATTCAGCCCAAGGGCAGAGATGGAGCCTCTGGCGGGGGAGGTGGGGGGGGAGCCATGAGGATGCCCCAGCGGAGACTTGGTGGAGCTGGTGGCAGAAGGAACCCCCTCTTCCAGGCCACATCGGCGAACCAGAAGATTCCAAGGCTGAAAGGGTTCTCCTGCACTGAAATGAAAGTGCAACTCGGGGCTTTTTCTCTTTCTTGCCTGCAGACGATGGGCCTTACTCCAAAGGAGGCAAGGATGCGGGAGGGACGGACGTGGCCCTGGCATGCCGCAGACAGAGCATTCCAGGTAAGGAGCCTCCTCTCCTTCCTCCTTGTCTGTCCTGGAGGCACGGAGAGCTCAGAGTCAGGGTCAGACGGCATTGGCTCTGCCGCTAACTCGCTCTGTGACCCTAGACCAGTCACTTAACTTCACTGATCCTCTGGTGTAAAAGGGAGATGATCTTACTCAGCATTTTGTGGCCAGGTGCCCCATTTACCAAGTGTTGGTCTCAGTTGTATTGGAGCTGGGGGTCCGGAATTGCCCCATGCTGCCTGCTCACCCCCCATCTGTTGACAGAGGAGTTCCGCGGGGTCACCATGGTGGAGCTGATCAAGAAGGAAGGCAGCACGCTGGGCCTGACCATCTCAGGTGGCACCGACAAGGATGGGAAGCCCAGGGTCTCCAACCTGAGACCGGGGGGGCTCGCCGCCAGGTGAGGAGGGGGCTTGGTGGGGCAGTAGGAAAGGGCCAGGGGCCAGTGGAAAATGGACCAGGGCTGTAGGCAAAGCGATTAGGTGGGTGTTTCTAGGAGCACCCAAGTGCTTCTCAGAGGGAAGCGTCCAGTGGAGGCTGTAATTCTAGGCCCCAGCTTCTCTTCCCTTTACGTAAGGGGCTGACTTGGCCACAGCATCCCACTCTTGCCAGGCCCTCCAGAACTTTGCACGTGCAGTTACCTTCTCGGAAGGCCTGTTCCCCACTGGCAGACTCCTATTCACCCCCACCCCCACCCACACTGCCTCTGGGAGGCCCCCCCTCCCAGGGCGAGGCAGCTGCCCTGCTCTGCTCACACGGCCCTGGGTGCCACTTCTGGACACATTGCTCTGGATTTTCCTGTCATCTTACCTATGTGGCTCCCTTAGACCATGAATTCCATGAGACCTAGGGGTTAGCCTCTCTGGGCCTTGTTCAGGGCAGGCGCTGGTAAGTGTCCGGTGGAACAGAACAGATTAGTAGTCAGAAGCCAGGGTGAGTGCTTTAGGAACTAGCAAAGGGGTAGATGATCTGGCCACTCTTGCAGGCTCCTCGGGGCTGATCAGAGCCTTCATCAGGAGGGTAACACCCCAGCAGGGGAAAATGCCAGGCCTGGGTGTCAGACAGGTCCAGGTTAGAACCCACGCTCTCTTACTAACTCGCTGTGTGACCCTGGATGATGTCTGACCTCTCTGAGCCACAGCTTCCCCATCGGTAAAATGGGGATTCAGAGATCAAAATGATTCAACAGAAGAGCGGGTGTGGATGCTGGCACTTGCCACCATGCATGTGCTCTGGCCTCCTTGCTCCCAGGAGTGACCTGCTGAACGTGGGCGACTATATTCGGTCAGTGAATGGGATCCATCTGACCAGGCTCCGCCATGATGAGATCATCACCCTGCTCAAGAATGTGGGCGAGCGCGTGGTGCTGGAGGTGGAGTATGAGCTGCCCCCGCCCGGTGGGTGCCCTTGGACTGGGAACTTTCTCCATTGCCTTAGTCGTGGGTAGATACAGCCATCTCCCCACCAGCACCTGGTGGTGGGGTCCATGCCAGCTGGGGACCTGGGTGGGTGGGACCTGAGGATTGGCCACAAACATCTAAGCCGCACCTAGGGACTTTGCCTACAATTGCAGTATGCTGTCACCAGGAGGTGGCAGGGCCCTGTTTATAAACCAGTGTCATTTTGTATATTTAGTGCTCAGATGCTTTTCCTTCAGGGGGGAAGGTTTGGGGAATGTTGGCTAAAAAAATTGTTCCCTGTCCTACTGCTCTCTCCACCCTACCAGCCTGCACTGAGTACAGTGGCCTAGGGTTTAGCCTAGGTCTGAATTTTCAAAGTTGGTCTAAAGTCTTAAGATTTGAATAACTAGAATTCAACCCTGGCCTGAGCCCATAGCCACGGACTCAAGTCTGAGTTCAGCAGAACTCTTGAAGTCTTACTTGTCCTACCTGTAAATGGGTGGGGGTGGGGGGAGTTTACCCTCCCTGTAATCTCTGTGACTGGTCACCTAGCTCTCCCGGAATGAGCTTTGGGGATGTCTGTGGCTTGGTGATGTGACTGAGGGACTCAAAGGAGCCCTCCATTTCTCCCCAGCCCCTGAGAACAACCCAGGGATCATCACAAAGACAGTGGACGTCTCCCTGTACAAGGAGGGCAATAGCTTTGGCTTTGTCCTCAGAGGTCAGTGTAAGAGAGTCACACTTGGGGTCAAGGGGAGGGAAGGAGGCTATTACCTATTCCATGTGTGTTCTGTTTTGCTTTATATGGATAGATAGATTAATAGATAGCTTCTTGCTTCTGACTTTAAAAAAGTGAGGACCATTAAGTCAAATGTTAAATGGAAAAATTTGCCAAGAAATGAAGTGTGCATGATTGCTGGGAGTGAGATTGAGAATAAAGTTTAGAGCTGCCTCGGAACCAGGGCAAAAAGGAAAATAGGATGGCGTCATAGGAAGGGAAGCAAACCATTTAAGAGAGAGAGAGGATTTCAGTCATGTCCCTACTTTCTGTCACACTCTGGGGATTTATAGTTGGAATTTTATAAGAGGGCCTGTGAATAGCAAGGACAGGTCCTCAAACAGATTTAATGAAGGGAGCCTACTTAGGGCTGAGTCAGGTCCTCTAGGTGTCAGGGAAAGAGTGGGTAGATGACTGCCACCTCCTGTTGAATTCTGTCCAGGGGGTGCCCATGAAGATGTACACAAGACCCGCCCGCTTGTCCTGACCTACGTCCGGCCTGGTGGCCCCGCTGACAGGTGAGCCTGAGCCGGAGGAAGCCGGAGGAAGCTGGAGGAAGCCTTTCCCTGCCCTGACTATGTCCAGATCCCCTGTGAAGAAGGCAGACCAGAAGCCATTGTGCCCATTCTCCTGATGAGCAAACTGAGGCCCAAAGAGAGGATGCCCGTTGCCCCAGAGTCACTCAGAATTGTTGGTGGAACCAGGACTCCATCCCAAATGAGAGAGACCCCAAGCTCTTTCCTCCCTGGCATCCTACTGTCTCAGGGGTGGGGAGGGAAGCAAGCCTTGGTGTTATGTTGTTCTTCCCCCATCTGTGGACTGGGTCTGATTCTGCAGCTCCTAGGAGTTACCGTGAGAGATTTGGGGCACCGTGAGCAGCACCACCGTGGCCTCTGTCTTGCAGCCTCTGAGTCCTGGCTGTGCCATCCCGCCTGGTGCTGCCTGGGCTGAGCGGACAGGGCCAAAAGGAGAGAATGTGGGAGAGGAACATGTCCAGTTCCCAGCACCCGACCCCCTGACCTCCCCAGTGGGAGATTCTTGGCCATTTTAAGAGAAGCCTGGAACAGCCTTGTCAGAAGTCTAAACCCGTTCTTGGGACGGGGCCCTGTGACGAGCTATTCATAGAACCTCCCAGAATAGCTTTGGCCACCTGTTGGAACAAGCATTCCAGGGTGGGGATTTGACCCAAACCGAGGTGAACCCCTGCTCGGCCCTTCTCCGGGGGCCCCTGCCGAATTCGTTCCCAGGCGCATTTGTCACCAGGCCAGACTCGCTGCTGAGAAACCAGAGTGGGGGCAGTGAGAAGGGACCTCAAGATGGACAGCGCGAAGCCTCCAGGCCGCCCCACCCCTGACGCTGTGTGGCCCTGGCAGGGCTGCTGTCCTTTCTGGGCCCTGGCAGTCCCCAGTGTCCCCGGGGCATCCCCACGCAGACATTCTTGGGTTGAGCCGGGGCTCTGACTGTATTGAGCATCGAGCAGGGTGGGAGATGTCAGAGCTGGTCCCAGCTCTGTTTGCATCTCCGCTTCATTGACTTAGCTGCTCCCCCAGAGCCTCCCCCATGCGCTCCTTCACTGCGCCGCCCCTTCCTCCTTCACCCACTGCCTGCTCCTCTCCATCCCCTGCCACCCCACCTTTCCCAGCGGCCTCTCGGCCTCTCACCAAGGCTGTGGCTGGTGCTCGCACGGGGCCGGGCTGGCTGACCGGGCCCTTCCCTGCAGGGAGGGCTCCTTGAAGGTGGGGGACAGGCTGCTCAGCGTTGACGGGATCCCGCTGCACGGGGCCAGCCATGCCACTGCCCTGGCCACGCTACGGCAATGCAGCCACGAGGCGCTCTTCCAGGTGGAGTACGACGTGGCCATCCCAGGTGAGTTGGGGGCCCGAGGACTTGGGTTGGGGCAGGACGAGACCCAGGGCTTGAGGGAGGGGGTAGCGGGCACAGATCCTCACCACTGCAAAGGCGGTGTGACCTGGGGCCAGTCACCTAGCCTCTCTGAGCCTCTCTGGGCAGTAAGCGCTATGTGCCAGTTGACTGTTGGAGGCCCCGGGGAACCAGGTGAGAACGATACAGACGAGATCTCGGTTCTAATGGAGCTCACCGTCTGGTGGGGAGAGAGGGACAGTAAACAGAATAAATCAAATACAGAGGCTGTCAGATGGCAGTATGTGCTGTTGGGGAAAAAAAAAATGAGGGAGGGAAGGGAAAGGCTGGGGGAGAGAGAGGTGATGGGGGCCCCACCAGGCTGGTTGCCGAGGAAGTACAGAAGGGTCGCATTCAGGAAATGATGAAAGTCAATGGGGTCTGATTTGCTGACGTGGACCCGGTGGCAGGGGTTGGGGGGGTGGGGGCGGGCAAGAGCAGAAGGAGCTAGGTTTTGCTTTCAAGCCACCAGGTGTGTTCCTGGGGGTGTGGTTTCTGAGTGCAGAAAGGTGGTAGTGAACATGCAGCTCGGGGCCGGCGAACTGCAGGCTCTCCAAAACTGTGAGCATGTTAGTGTCATCCAGCAGAGCCCTGGGGTCAGAGTCCCTCAGAGCCGAATCCCTGTCCCGCCTCTGCTGCTGAGGACTTGTGTGAACTTGGACAAGGCCTTTGCCTCCACACGCCTCAGCTTTCTGATCTGTAAAATGGGTGCAACAGTCCCTCCCCAGCAGTGAGGATAATACCGAGCTAGCAGAGTGAGGCTGGGAGGCAAGTGCTCAGTATTTGCATTTCAAACCCTTCTGTCTTTCCTTGTGCCAGATACGGTAGCCAATGCTTCGGGGCCCTTGATAGTGGAGATAACCAAGATGCCTGGGTCAGCCCTGGGGATCTCACTCACCACTGGCTCCCAGCGGAACAAGCCAGTCATCACCATTGACCGCATCAAGCCGGCCAGCGTGGTGGACAGGTGAGGCACACACTGGGTGCCGCCACCATAGTGGGCAGGGATCCAGGGGGAGAGGCAGCCCAGAGCTCCCTCTGGCTGGACCAGCCTCTCCCTTCACTCTCCCGCCTGGACAGGAGTGGGGCCCTGCATGCTGGAGACCACATCCTGTCCATCGACGGTACCAGCACGGAACACTGCTCGCTGCTTGAGGCCACCAAGCTCCTGGCCAGTGTGGTGGAGAGAGTGCGGCTGGAGATCCTGCCTGCACCCCAAAGTCGGCGGCCCCTGAAGCCCTCAGAGGCAGGTGGGTCCCCTTGGAAGGTCTCAGGACCCAAACCTGACAGCTGATGGGGAGGGGTGCACGAGGTCCCAGAGGCCTGGGACCGAAGCCCTGGGCAGACTAAAATGTATTAGAACAAATGTCCATTCCTGTTGGGAAGCTCAGATTGTCAAGTGCAGCAGCTGAGGGTGGGGAGATGGGGCAGAGGAACAGCCTGAATGTTTGAGTTGACAGTCTGCTGGTGTGGATGCCCCAAAGCTAGCACCATCACTCTTTGCTAAGTTAATAGAAGTATAAGGGCTAGCTCGAGGGAGAGGACAGTCCTGTGCTCAGAGCTTAGATCTGGGGCTCAGCTCCGGGGTCCTCAGCAGGTCCAGAGGAGGCAGCCAGGGAATCAGGAAGGCCTAAGCACCCCCCTACCTTTTGAGGAGTTGGGGTCTCCCAGACCAGAGCAGGGAGCTGGGGGCTAGGCAGTCTAAGAGCAGAGGAAGCCGGTGATCTAAGAGACCAGAGGGCAGAGCCGAACCCGGGGCAGGGTGGTCACAAGGAGGCAGCTTCCGGCTCAGAGCCTGGAAGTGCGTCCAACATTCCAAACCTTGGGCTTTGCGTACAAATGCCAGCCCTGCCCCAGCTGAACAGGTGCTTTATGCCTCTGAGCCTCAGTTGCCTCATCTGTAGATGGGAGCGCAGCCTTGGGAGGGGTCAAACGAGGTAGAGGACAGAGCACAGCCCAGGACTGTGGTCTGGGTGGTCAGGCTGTGAATTCCAGCCCTCGGGACACCGTGTATGGGCAAGGATGGAGTCAGCCCACCCCATCCTTTGCAAGCCTAATTGATCATCGGGGACAGAAAGATATCCCCCAAATAAAATGTGGGGAGACAGGCCTTGGGGACGGTCCGTTTCTGTGGCTCTGTGCAGACACATCTCTGCCGGGGTCTGCAGAGGCCCCATCAAGCCACAGCCAGGGCCTGCCACAGGAGGCTTTGGGGCTTGAACTCGAGTGACTCATTCTCGCACCATTTACAACGCACCTGCCGTGAGCTGGGCTCAATGCTGGGGCTTCCCATGGGTCACCTCTTTTCATCCTCGTGACAAGTCTGTGAGGGCACTTTTGCTGTTACCCCACTTGACAGAGGCGACTGAGGCTCAGAGAAGCACAGTGCCTTATGAGGGCACAGGGCTGCGACAGTCTTCCTGGCCCTCATTAAGTGGCCTCAGCTAGGTGCCAGGCACTGCTCGAGGCACATCCTACATCTTAACTCACCCAGATCCTTCCCATTATCCGAGGAGGCAGCCACTATCTTAGTCCCATTACACAGATCATGACAATGAGGCACAGAGGGGCCAAGGGACCTATCTCAGGGACCAGGCAGCTGGCTCCCAGGCTGGCCAAGCCCCTCATCCATCTATGGATACGCTGCACCAGCCTGGACCCCTCAAAAGCCCCGAAGCTGAAGGAAGAGCTAAGACAAGACCTGGGGAGCCTGGGAGAAGGTGTTGCATGGCAGGTGGTTGGGAGGATCAGGTGGGGCAGGTGGGGGAGGCAGGATCTCTGGGGTCCCGCGGGAAGGGGATGGAGAAGGAGCGCAGAGAATTCATCTGGGCGGAAACCGTGTGAAAGCTTGGAGGGGAGGAAGCCAGAGCAGCCTGTCTGCAGCGTAGGTCTGAGCAAACTTCGGCCAACCCCACAGGGGCCCTGGAGCATAGGTTGCCCCCGAGGGCCCCGCGGGGGGCGGGGGGCAGAACCGGCCAAGCCCTAGTGCCCCCGGTGCTTGACCCCTGGCCCCTGTGGCCAAGGCTGCCCAGGCCACAGCACTACTGCAGATCCTGAAGGTGCAGGGGCCCTATGCCTTCTGCCAACTGCACTGCTCAAAGCTGATGCGCCGGGTCTCAGGCTGGGGCTCCTTTCCCTCCCGTCCCTGCTGCTGCTTGGCTGAGCACTGAGCACAGTGCCTGGCACATAGTGGGCGTCCGGGACACACAAGCAGCATCTGAATGCCTGGCTTGGCTTGGCTTGGGGGAAACTCAGGCTGTCTGGTCCTGCTTTCCTCACTTCATCTCGCAGATGGGAGCGTGGCTCCAGGGGGCCGCGCTGAGTCCCGACTCGCTCAGTCTCTAACGCCTGCACTTCTCTCTCCTCTTCCTTGGGCCACAGTGAAGGTGCAGAGGAGTGATCAACCACACCGCTGGGACCCCTGCGTGCTCTCCTGTCACAGCCCCCGGCCCGGCCACTGCAGGACGCCCACCTGGGCCACACCTGCTGGCCAGGATCAGAGCCGATGTAATGTGTCCACCTCACTGTGGCTTGTGCATGTTTCATAGGGGAGGAAACCAAGACTCCGAGAAATTAGGAAGTCTGCCCAGCATTACCTAGCACATTAGTGATGAGATGGGCCCCTATCCCTGGCAGCTGGGTTTCACCATATCTGTGAAAACCCCGCGGTCTTTGAGGCCCAGAGTGGGCGAGACCTGTCTGAGGTCACACAGCCAGTGTTTCAGGTGAAAGGGGGAAGGCGTCCCGGTGTCTCTCTGCGTCCCAGTGTCTCTCTTCCGTGGGGTGGTTGCCTGGCACCCACTGCGTGGCAGGGTGGGGGACCCTTCTGGGGTTCACGGGGCTGTGCTCTCATCTCCCCAGCCTTGTCCTCGACTCCCTTTTCCTCGCCGACCATGAATCATGCCTTTCCCTGCACCAATCCCAGCACCCTTCCCCGTGGATCCCACCCCATGAGCCCCCGGACTACAATGGGGCGGAGGAGGCAGCGAAGAAGGGAACACAAGAGCACATGTAAGTAAGCCATGGTCTCTTCCCTCCTCTTTGGGCTGCCTTTATGGCTGAGAGATTTGCCAAAGGATGGGGGTATTTGGGACAGGGTCCCAGGTGTGTGTAGGCTCATTAAATAGCATGAGTGGCCCACCAGGCTGCCATGGACGGTTGGGCAGGTTGTGTGCTGCACAAGGATGCACCTGAGGGGTGTCAGTCACTTTGTACATTTTAGTCTTATATTTTGATTGTGGAAAATTCCCAGCAGGTGATGACACAGTGTCTCAGGAAAGGATACCTTTTCAGATGTGCATAAACGTTTCACAGTAACTCCATTTCATTTTCTTTCATTCTGTGATTCATTCTGATGCATTCAAAGAGAAAGTCTGAGTGTGGTGTAGCTGTGTCTGTACCACTTCTCTGACATTTTTTAATTTCCCCTAAAACAAAGACACATAGGCCTGAGACTAGCCATCCAGGATGTAATAGTTTATAATAATTTTCACTTTTATTATATATATCTCATATATATAGTGTATATATGAACATGTATATATACACTACACTCGTGTATATATACACACATACACATACACACATATATTTCTACTTCCCTTTTGTTTATAGGCATTTCTCTTTATTTATGATCACTATGTCTGTAATTCCCTTTTGAAATGAAGGTATTTAAGAATTTTAAAAAGTGAATAAATGGAAAGACAAATAGTAGTGAATGATAATGTGGAGGTAGCAAAAGTCACGAGAATGCCAAGAATTTTGAAGTCTCCTGGGAAAAGTCCTTCCTTTGCTGATGTAGAGAGTCTATCCAGCTTCCTGCCATGTGAACTGCAGAGGCCTCCAGGAAGGATGAAAGGTCAAACTGGGCCATTTGGAATTGAGCCAAAAGAGGGAAACGAGGAGTACAAATCACCTGGCACCTGAAATATGGTCATGAGCTTCCTGGAAGCCAAGGTGAAAAGGGAAACAGATTTCAGAGTCAGATGAGAGGTAAAATATGCCTTTACCAACCACCTTTGTCAACCACCAAACCTGGGAGTGTGTAGGTGAAAAGATTCAGAAATGCTGTTCATAGGCAGGGGCATGTGGAGGCTGGGGGCTCTCGGGACCACTTATCTGTCCTTTTCCTAGGATGGATGACTAATAAAATGTTATCATTATTATTGTTGATGATAATTATTTAACTGAACAATTTGAACACCTCCTATGTACCAGGCACCATTCTTATTATTAGGGATGTAACTGTGAAAATATAATAAATATAAATACAATAATGCAACATATGCAACAATATAATATATCATGTGTATTGTAATGTGTAATATAAATATAACAAAATAGTAATAAAGATATAATAGTTTAATATAATTAGTAGTAGAATTAAATATAATAAATTATATTTAATAAATGATATCCAATGTCCATGTTAATAATACAAATGTATTTTATATATGGAATATAAAACGATACACATTAAGTAACATATCAAATAGATAGAAAGTTTTCATATGACCCACCAATTCCATATCTAGGTATACGCCCAGGAGAAATGAAAACATATGTCATGTTCACCCAAAAACTTACACATGAATATTCTTAGCGGCATTATTCATTTTCGCCAAAAGGTGGAAACAACCCAGATGTCCATTAAGAGATGAATGCATAAATAAAATGTGGTGTATTCATAGAATGGGATATTATTTGGCCATAAAAAGGTACGAATTCCAGAGACATGCTACAATATGGAGAAACCTTGAAAACATTATGCTTAGTGAGAGAAGCCAGACGCAGAAGGCCACAGATTATAGGATTCCATTTATGTGGAATGCCCAGAAGAGGCAAATCTACACAGAAGCAAATAGGTTAGTGGTTGCTTAGGGCCAGGAGAGATGGGAGGATTTGGGGCAATAGCTAAAGGGACCAGGGTTTCTTTTTTGAGGTGATGAAAGTGTTCTACAATCGATTGTGCTGATGGTTGCACAACATTGTTAATATACTAAAAAACCACTGACGTGTACACTTTAAAAATAGGTAAATTGTATCTCAATAAAGCTGTCACCAAAATTAGCATACTATGTGGTATTATGAGAGCGTTCTGACAAAGCTAACATCACGTACCAGCACAACCCTCAGAAGCTCTGTTTACAACGTCGCAGTCCCAGGAGCTGGTTTCCTTCATCCTTGTCACGGCCCTGCTGGGTGGGACTCAACCGCGGGCCAGACGGGGAGAGCACGGCTCAGAGTGCACTATGACTCTGCACTCTGCAGGGCGAGGCAGGGCTCCCACCCACTCGCCCCTCTGACTCTAGGTCCTTGGGCCTGGGCGTGGGTTGGTGCTGGCAGGAAGGGCTCTCTGGGACTGTCCACTTGAGAGCCGTGCCCGCCTGTCCCGCAGTGTCACTGGCCTCCAGCACGGTGGGGCCTGGGGGACAGATCGTGCACACGGAGACCACGGAGGTCGTGCTCTGCGGAGACCCCCTCAGCGGCTTTGGCCTCCAGCTCCAGGGAGGCATCTTCGCCACCGAGACCCTGTCCTCCCCGCCCCTCGTGCGCTTCATCGAGCCCGACAGCCCGGCAGAGAGGTGAGCCAACTGCCCCCGCCCCCTGGGCCTGCCACTCTCCAATTCAGGGGGCTCACAGACAGCCAGGGAAACTGAGTCACATGCCAAGCCTGGCTTCACGAGGGTCTCTCATCTAACCATCCCATCCACTCCATCATCAGCCCCACTTTACAGATAAGGAAACCGAGGCGCAGAGATGCTGATTCATTTGCTCAGGGTCACACAGCTTGTGAGTGACCCAGGACTTGAACCCCTGTCTGTCTGAAGTCAGCGTTCTCTATACACACATCTCGTAAGGCACAGTGTCACCCCCCCTTGGACAGACAGAGAAACCGAGGCCCAGCGAGTTTACCCCCTTAGCCAGAGTCACGGGGTTAGTTGCCTGAGGCTCTAGAGCCGGCCCAGGGCTGAGCTGTGAGTCAGACCCAGGCCTGCCCACACATGGCATTCCTGTGCCCCAGGAATAGCCGTGATGGTAACGGAGCTGCTTCTTTCTGTGGGGCTGGGTTCAGGTGTGGGCTGCTGCAGGTCGGGGATCGGGTCCTGTCCATCAACGGGATTGCCACCGAGGACGGGACGATGGAGGAAGCCAACCAGCTGCTGCGGGACGCGGCGCTGGCCCACAAGGTTGTGTTGGAGGTCGAGTTTGATGTGGCAGGTGAGTGAGTGTCCCTACCTACCTCCTCATGCGTTGGGACCCTGTGCTCCCTCCTCTCTTTATCCTGCTCCTGCCCGGGGCACATGTTCTTCCAGCCCCATCCCACTCCCCGCCTGGTGACCCTCTGCCAGAGCGTTTGCAGTGTGTACCTGAGGACTAGTGGTGGCAGGGAAGGCCCTGGCGGGGGAGGCAGGAATCCCACACGCCAGTCTGAGGGTTGATGAGGGATTTTTGTGCCAAAACAGGACCTAAGGGAGGGCAGAGGGGGGCTGAAAATATCCCATGCCCCTCGGCAGGCCTTAGGTAAAGAACCCCAAACACAAACTCAGGTTAGAACTCTGGTCCTGTGATTTGGACATTCTGTGACTTTGGACAGAACTTTCTTGCCCACCACCATCCTCAGTTTCCCCAACCGTGAAATACTGAATAGAGTCCTTCTACTACAGTGGATATTGTTTGAGTTAGATGAGATCAATCGTGTGAAAACACCCAGCTAACGCCTGGCACATAGTAGGTGCTTAGTAAATTGTTGTTGGATCTGAACTGGGTTGGGTTTGCCTCTGAGGAACCCCCTGGATGGCAGTCATGGGGTCTAGGTGCCAGCCCCAAATCTGCTCTGATCGGATTGATTGTCTGAGACAGATGTCAGCTCACCATGCCTCAGTTTCCTCCTCTGTCAGGATAGGTTTGGGATGGTGACTTCGCATTCTCTCCCAGCTGGCCTAGAATGGGTGGGGAGCTGGGACTCCCTGCATCTCCTCCCTTGGGTCTCACACACGTCCACGTGTGTTTGCATGCAGAGTCCGTCATCCCGAGCAGTGGCACCTTCCACGTGAAGCTGCCCAAGAGGCGAGGTGTGGAGCTGGGCATCACCATTGGCTGTGAGTCCCTCCCCGCTGTCCAGTCCCCACCCCCAGCGAGCCACACCTCCAGCCTGGAGGAGGGGGATGCTCCTGGTGCAGCCCCTTCCTACCCCAGACTCCACAGTCAATGGAGGTGGGAGTTTAAGCAATCTGGGAGGGGAGAAGCTGCTCCTAGCCCAGGAAACTCCGGATAGGGCTGCCAGGTACAGTTGCACAAGTTGTACATGACACGAGGGTGCCCATCTGAGGTAGACTTACCATTTTATTACATCATTTCCTCAATGGACTAATTGGAAGGGGCGCCCTTGTCTTATCTGCAAAGATGCCACATGGGCTAGAAAGGGCTCCTACCATCTGGTCACTAATGGGAAAACCCATTAGCCCAGATGGACTTTTTTGGCAAGAAAATGTAGCTACTCATGTAGCACCCATTGTCTTAGGTCACATTCCCCCAGAAAGAGCTTCTTAGACAAAGTTACATTCGGGGGGGTTTTACTGAGAAGGGCCCTTGGAATCAACACCTGTGCCAGGTGAGGGACGTGGGACTGGGTGGACGGAGAAGCTGGTTGTGATGCAGCCAGTCCCACGGAGAGCTCTAGGGCCAGGAAGGCTTTGGAAGTTGCCGTGAATGAGGCTGGGAGCCAGGCCTTTGCACCACTGCGTGGACCAGGCCGCACCCAGGAGCTGTACAGCCTTGGGTGAGGCCGTTCTCTCGGCCAAAGGCAATTCCCAGAGAGGGAGCCCCCCGGGAGCCATTCAGCCAGCACTCCCGGCAGCTGGGAGAAGGGAAAACTCAACTGTGGATGGGTCGCCTAGTTCTGGGGCCCACCCTGTGCTAGGTGGGGGTGCCAGCCAGACACAGCCCCTGAAGGGGCTCACAGTTTGCTGGGGGATGGGCTGAGCAGAAGGGCAAAGGGCTGATGTGGACTGAGCACCTACTATGTGCCGGGATCCACGTTAGGTTTTGCCTTGTCTAGTTTAATCTCGTGACATCTCCATGAGTTCTGTGGTGCCATCCCCATTTTGCAGTGTTCCCGGGAAAGTGAGGCAGAAGGGGGGCTGATTTACTCATGGTCACCAGGCAGGAAGCAGTGAGAGCAGGGCATGTGGCTCAGCATTCATGCCCCAACTCCTGGGCCCTCCCAGTCCCCCTCCTCGAGGCTGAGGCCATCAAAGGTTGGATTCATGGCTTCTTTCCCCCCAGCGACCAGCAGGAAGCGAGGAGAGCCCCTGATCATCTCTGACATCAAGAAGGGCAGTGTGGCACACAGGTAGGGATGGCCCTGGACACAGGGTAAGGGGAGCCGTCCACGGGGAGTGACATGTGCCAGACTCTTTGTGTCCCCCACCCCTGCTCCTGCAGGACCGGCACCCTCGAGCCAGGCGACAAGCTGCTGGCCATCGACAACATCCGCTTGGACAACTGCCCCATGGAGGACGCTGTGCAGATCCTGCGGCAGTGCGAGGACCTGGTGAAGCTGAAGATCCGGAAGGATGAGGACAACTCTGGTATGGCCCTCACCTGGCCCTGCCACCTCTCTCAGTCCCCCCACAGGATCGGCAGTTTCCAGCTTGCAATTCGGGGCTCCCTCTGGCCGAGGAGGGAGGGTGGCCGGCTGCTGGTGGAGACTCCTTGAATGAGCAAATGCAGGGAGGCAGCCCCGCGCTCGGATGTCTCCTGGTCCCCGGGGCTGCCTGGATCCTCCATGGCCAGCACAACGCCTAGCAGAGGAGGCCCACAGGGGGCAGCAGTGAGCAGAGGGGTTGGTGGGGCAGGGATGCTGCAGGGGGATACATGCTGCGTGGGTGATGTGTGAGTGAAGAAGTAAAGGCTGCCAACTCTGACACCTCTGAGGCCAGACAGGTGACAGAAGTGAGTGACCTGGACAGAAGGTAAGAAAAAATGGTGCAGGTTGGGGAGGCAGAAGGGAGCCATGAGGCTTGTGGCCCCTGGAGAGCCAATCCCTTATTCAGAGGGGCAGCTGCCGACTCCTGCCCTGGGAAGGATGGTCCCTTGTGGGCAGATTCTTCTTCTTCATCTTTTTTTAAAGAAAAACTGGAAGTCTGGTTTCTTCTTATCCTCATGATTGTTATTTTGTGTCCTGGGTGAAATCTATAGTTTAGAATGTTGGTTTCATGATTCTTTTCTTTCTTCTTTTTTCCATGGGGCTTGGGTGCAAGGAAACATTTGTGGAGGCAGAAGGTGGCCTCAGGATCCCCGGGCAGTGCCATCTGAAGTCATGGCACGAGCAGATAGGTGGATTAACGAATGAGTGGATGGTTGAGTTTGAGGGATAAGTACATCAGGACCCTGGGGGCTGGGGGCATCCAGCTCCCCTGGGTCCTGCCCCACTGCGCCCCACCTGATGGCTTCCACCTTTGCAGATGAGCAGGAGACCACAGGGGCGATCAGCTACACAGTGGAACTGAAACGTTACGGGGGTCCCCTGGGCATCACCATCTCGGGCACAGAGGAGCCTTTTGACCCCATTGTTATCTCAGGCCTCACCAAGCGTGGTCTCGCTGAGAGGTGAGCTGGGGTTCTGTGGGGACACACAGGGCAGGCCTGGGGACCCTCATGGGGCAGGGGTTGGGCTTTGGGAACGGTCAAAGTGGATTCTGACCTCGGTTCCAACGCCGATGTCCTGGGTGACATCAGGCCTGTCCCTTCCCTCGCTGAGCCTCAGTTCCACAGAGGCAGACCAGCCCCCCTGGCAGACCTCCCTCCCAACCTGGAGATTCCGCGCGTCTGGAAAGTCAGCACTGTGAGCCATTTTGGAGCGCCTGCTGTATGCCTTCAATCCTGGCACAGCCTGGGGCTTTTCGGGAGGCATTAGAGGCCGCCCTTCTGTCCTCTCCTCTGGGAAAGCTGTGAGAAAGAGGGTGTCGCAGGCTGTCCAGACTGGGGGGAGCAGGTGAATCTGGGGCCCAGAGGTGGAACAGGGCCCCACAGGGGTCACAGAGATGCCAGGCCTGGGTGGGACAGGCTGGGCCCCCCGAGGAGGATGAAAGCAGGAGGGCCCACATGGTGGTGGGCTGCAGCAATAGGATGGAGGGGACTGAGGGTCGGTGGAGGGCTCCCTGTTCCTGGAGCGCCCCCTGCTGGCCCACTGCAAAGGCCAGTGTGGACGGTTCCTATCTCAAGTGTGTTCATCTACCCACCTTGACTGGGTACCTACCGGGTGCCAGCCCGTTCTGGGAGCTGAGGACGCAACAGACAGTGCCCTTGCCCTCACCGGGCTGATCTAGCTCAGTGCTGACCAACTGCAATGTAATGCGAGCCCCACGTTTCAGTATAAACTTTCTGGTGGCCATATTAGAAAAAGAAAAGGAAAAGAATAACATGAATCTTAAATACGTATTTATGTTAACATGTGTAGTCAATATACAAATTATAACGAGATGTTTTACATTCTTTTTTGTCATACTGTGTCTTCAGAACCCGTTGTGTATTTTCTATAGTCAAGCCATCTCAGTTTGGGCCAGCCACGTTTCGGGACCCAGTAGCCACATGGGGCTGGTATCTCACGATCACCTTCCCCAGCCCAGTTCCCAGGGATACCATTTCATTGGCCAGGGGTCAGGGCCAGGCAGCACACATTTTTAAAAACGCTCCTCAGGTAATTCTAATGGTGTCCAGGTAGAGACCCCACTGGGCCAGAGCAAGGCTACTGCCTGGCCCTATCAGCCCCTCGCACCCCCTTGTGAGGTCAGCTGAGCACCCTGTGCTCATTCTCTGGGTGAGAAAACAGGCCCAGGGAAAGGAAAGGCTCCCCATGGATTTCTGCTGGAGGGAAACACGAATCCCTTCCACCCAGCCATCTTTCAACTACAATTAGATAAAGTAAGTTTATCACTCCCATTTTACACATGAAGGAACTGAGACTCAGGGAAGTTGAGAAACGGGGCCCCGGATCATGCTTGACACTGATTCCAGAACCTAACTTTAGAGTCAGGCAGAATAATCCCCTCCCCCGCCCCAAATTCTAGACTTAATTTTTTTTTTTGTTTTTTTTTGTTTTTTAGAGAGGAAGAGAGTGGGAGGAGGGGCAGAGCGAGAGGGAGAATCTTAAGCAGGCTCCATGCCCAGCACGGAGCCCAATGCAGAGCTCAATCTCACGACCCTGAGATCATGAGCTGAGCCAAAATCAAGAATCGGACGCTTAGCCGACTTAGCCACCATGCATCCCCCAAATTCTAGACATTATACCTTTTTTAATGCCACCTTAGATGACACTTGCTTTTTGCTACAGCTGGGTTTAACTGAGGTCAATCAGGCTTGTGCCTTGGGGTTCCTGAGTTCCCTGAGGGCAGACCCCCTCCCTGAAGCCTTGAATGTCTCTCATTCTCTGTCCTGTGTCCCCTCCCCAGGACTGGCGCTATCCACGTTGGGGATCGTATCCTGGCCATCAACAGCGTTAGCCTCAAGGGCCGGCCTCTGAGTGAGGCCATCCACCTCCTACAGGTGGCTGGCGAGACTGTCACACTGAAGATCAAGAAGCAGCTAGACCGTGAGCCTCCCCCCCTCCCCCCGGGGCCATCCACCCATTTAGGAAGGGAAATCCCTCTGTGCCTCTGTGCCAGGTTCATGTGCCCAACCCCATGGCATCCTCACCAAATCCTATGCAGGTGGGAAGACACCTGGGACAGCTGAGGAGGCCAGACTCAGAGAGGGGAGTGGTGGTCCTAAGGTCACAGCTTGTGTAGGGCAGAGTCTGGGTCTGAACCACCCTCTCCATCGCCTCCCGCCTCTCAAGGCTGCTTGTTCTGCCTTAGGGCCGAAGTTTGTACATTCCTCAGTTCCCCTGAATTTGCACCCTGTACCTTGGCAGGGAGGCCACCACCTGCAAGGGAAGGAACCTGAGCTTTTGGGTCTTCCTTCTAATCTGGGCTCCACTGTTGTTCACCATGTGACCTTGGGCGTGTTGTGCAGACCCAGAACCTCAGGGACTCCCCAGGGCCCAGCTCAGAGAACTCAGCCTCAGTTTTCCTGTCTGTGAAATGGGTTTGCCCATTAGTGTGCCCCTTCTCCTCCTATCAGATTGCTCAGTAGCAGGCTCGGGAAGTGTGGAGGGGGCGCTCAGTGCCTGTGAGTTCCCAAACCAGACTGAAATGGGGAAACTGAGGCTCACTGAGTGTCTCTGTGTCTCTGAGGTCGGAGGCCAGTGGTGGTGACACCCCTTTTCTGTCCCAGGCCCCCTCCCATGCCGCAAGTCGGGCAGCCTCAGCGAGGCCAGCGATGCAGATGAGGACCCACCAGAGGCACTCAAAGGAGGCCTGATGGCAGCCCGGTTCTCATCCGCTGTGCCCAGTGTGGATAGTGCTGTGGAGTCCTGGGACAGCTCGGCCACAGAGGGTGGATTCGGGGGCCCAGGTAACGCCTCGGGGCCCTAGGCCAAGTGACATGCTCTCTCTGGCTGCCCCAGCTGCCAGGCCTTTGCAGGGGCTGTTCCCTCGGCCTCATCCTCCCTCCTCCTCTCCCTGCTCCATCCTTCAGGGACACTTCCTGGAGGCAGACCCGCCTGGGCCCCATTAGCCATTCTCAGGGCCCCTCACTGCTCAGAGCATGGACCCCAGGCCTTCATACATCTTTTGATTAGCATCCATAGCACCATGGAGTTCCTCATCTTGAGGTTAGGGACCAAGCTGGCCTCACCTTTGTCTTTCTCATTCCTAGCCCGGTGCCCTGTACACAGCAGGCGCCCAAGCAGTGTTTATTGCATCCAGTTGAAGATAGGAAGGCAGAAAGCCCCTTCCCACCCCGTCCCGCAAGACCCTGCCTTAAGATGGACACGTCCAGGCTGCCCTCTGAGGACACAAGCTCCCCTGCCCGGGCATGTTGAGACTCATGGGTGGCCTCGGGGTTTGGGGGGCATTTGAATCTAGCAGCTGGCCTTCTGGCCTCTGTAAGGCCCGGCTCAGAGAACTAGTGGAGCGAGGCCTCTAAGTGGCCTCAGGTGGCTCCCAGCCCTGGTGCTCACTGGCTGTATATCTGTCTGCCTTCCCTGGGTCTCCGCTTCCCCGTCTCTTGTACTTGATAAGCATCTCTTAGCTTACCCCTGGGGCAGGGTCTTGAGAGCTCCCAAAGGCAGGCAGAGAGGAGTGGTTACAATGGTGAGCCTCCTCCCCAGGTAGGAGGCAGCCAGGCTAAGCCCATGGAGCCGAGACAGGGTCTTGGAGCCCTGGCCATGAACTCCTCTGCTGGGTGATCAGGAGTTCTGGGGGGTTCTGGGGGTAGGGACTAGGTGGCAGGGCCCTCAGGGGACTCTGGGTAGTCATGCAAGGCCAGAGGGGGCCAAGACCTATCCAGGGTCATCTAGCACAGCTGGAAAAGGGGTGGGAAGGAGGGCAAGCCGAAGTGGATACAGACACCCACCTCTCCACCTGGCAGGCTCCTACACTCCGCAGACGGTGGCTCAGGGCGTGACCCCCCAGGAGTGGCGGCCCAGCCGGCTGAGAAGCAGCCCCCCACCCACCGAGCCCCGGAGGATGAGCTATACCCCGGCCCCCACGGATGAGAGCTTCCCCGAGGAGGAGGAAGAGGAGGATTGGGAGCCACCAACTAGGTCTGTGGTGGGAATGCCACGAGGGAGGAGGCAGTCATGGTCTCCCGGTCTCCATAGTGGTGGGGCAGCAGAGGGGTCTTGTCCGGCTCCTGAGGAGGGGCGCCTCCCAGGAGAAGGGAGGAAGCATCGGGCAGAGCTGCCTCAGCCAGGCTGAGATGGGGACAAGGGTGTGCCAGGCAGAGGGCACAGCAGTGGCAAAGGCGTGGAAGGTGTTTGCCTTTCCAGAGTCTGGTCATCTCCCATTCTCAGAACAGCTCAGAACTTGAACCTGACCCTCCTAACTTAGCCCAGATTGCTTGATGGCCTCCTGCAAGAGCCCTCAGGTCCCAGGCACCCGCCCTGGCCGTGGATGTGGTGGGTTTGGTAGCGGTTGGCTTTGAAGGACACCGCATCACTCCTGGAGGAGGCTCTCGCAGAGAGCAGGCCCTGTGGAGAAATGCTGTTCCTCACCCAGCCCTAGCCACCCCTCCTGTGTCTGTGCTTTGGATCGGGCACTTCCTTCTGCCTCCAGTGCCTTTCCCTCTCTCTCCTGGCCAAGGCCTGTGCGGCCGTGCAAACCCAGCTCACATTCTCCCGCCTCCTCCGGGAGGCTCCCCCGACTTTCTCAGGCAGAAGGCATCCCTCCCTCTGCTGGTCCCCAAGCCGCCACTGTGAGCCTCCTCGTGGCATTGGCCGCCTTGTGCCCACCTGGTTCATGACCTGGCTGCGGTCCCTTCTGCGTAGCGCCCCTCGCTGAGTGCCTGGCACCCAGTGGGGACTGCTGCACACTTTGTGACTGAATCACCAGCTCCTTGAGAACAGGGGCTACACCTTACTCACTGCCGTAGCCCCAGGCCCTGCGGAGCCCTGGCCCGGGGAATGTTCGTAGAATTGGTTTGAATGGAGAGAATATCCTTCAGCCTTAGTCTTCTCATCTATAAAATGGGAAGGACAGGAGGCAACTATTGCCCATCATCCTCCCTGAGTCTCCCTAGGAGAGAAAAGCTCGTGGGCCTTTGTAAGAAAGTGCTTTGCAAACCATCCTTTCTAAGCAGCCTGGACTTTGTAGGTGGCAGTTGGCTTTGTGAACTATGAAGTGTGCAAGTGTGACTTGTTACCATTCTAACGAGCCTCGATTTTAGAGCTGATGATGAGCCCATACAGCCTGTGACGGAACCTGTGGGGTGGCCTGGACCCTTCCCCAAGCGCAGATACACTCTCCTCTCCATCCATCTGTGTCCTCGCCGGCTCCAGCTCTGTCCCTGTCACTGTGCTATGATGCCATGTGTCTGGGTGGGGCCAGGGGCCGTCCTCTGGGGCTACACCATGGATCTCCTCTCTGTCTGTCTGTCTGTCCGTCCGTCTGTCTCTCTTCCCAGGCGTCCTGTGTCACCGCTCTCCACCCCGTCTCATCTGCCCCTGTTCTAACTGGCCACCGACAGTCCTGGTCGCCCCTAACTGCGTCTTCCCCCCATTCCGTGTCACCAACCACTGCCCCGGGGCCCCAGCACTGCCACCGAGGACGCCCGCCTGCCTGCCCGCCCGCCTGCCCGCCCACCCTATGGCCCCTCGAGCCCAACGCTGGGCCCCGGGGCCCCGAAGACTCCTCAGGCCCCAGCCCGCCTGCCCACCCACCCGCCTGCCAGGAGTTGACACTCTCTGGTTCCTACGTTACAGCCCAGCCCCTGGCCCTGCCCGTGAGGAGGGCTTCTGGCGCATGTTCGGGGAAGCGCTCGAAGACCTGGAGTCATGTGGTCAGTCAGAGCTGCTGAGGGAACTGGAGGTAGGGCCACCCACCCCACAGACCTTCCTGGGGGCCCCCGTGCATGGACACACCGACGTGCGTGCCCGTGGGAAGCAAGCATGTTGACGGGATCCTGTTCATGTGTAGTGTGTATCATGCACTCACTCGGCACCCTCCGTGTAAAGGCGTCTTTACCCACGTGCAAGTGTGATTGAGAGCACCGTGGTATGGCACGTGGAGGTATGTGCACATACGGACGTGTCTGGCATCATCATGTGCGCACCGGGGGCATGCGTGTGTGCATGTGTGTGAGCATGCTCATGTATGCACAAATGCTGAGGGTATTTTCAGAACAGGTGTGTCTGAGCGCCCATTTGGATGCTGAGGGGCAGTTTTGGCGTGTGTGTGTGTGTGCAGGTGCAGTCTGGGGACGTGGTTGTGGGCATGCTCCGTGGAAGCATGTGGATGTGAGCATCAGGGACAGACAACACGGGATGAGGGGTCAGGGGACCTGAGAAGTGAACGCAGCTTTGTGTGAGGTCAGCATGGCCCACTTTGGAACAGGCTGCCCGGGAAGGTCTAGGAAGGATCCGACTGGTCATTTCAGAAGCTCTTTCATGCTCTGAGAGCAATAATTTAAACTTCCACTTTATCTGTGCTTTTGCCCCTAAATTGTTGATTGGTACCATTTTTTTCCTCCATCAGTCTTGCCAATTACTAGGCTCCTCAAAGAACTGATTTTTGGCTTTGTTAATTCTCATTGTTTTCTATCTTACTCATTTCTGTGTTTAGCTTCTACTTTATTTGTGTTATTTAAATAACACAAATGGTTTCTTAGCTCCTTCATTTTCAGTCTTCCTTGTTTTCTACCATAGTGCATCTTAAGCTATGATTTTACCCATAAGCACTGCTTTGGCTGCATTCCCCAAATTTTGATTTGTGATGCTTTTGTTGATCAGTCAATTCCAAATATTTCAAAAATTTCTATTACGATTTTAGTTAAGCCCTTGAATTACACAGAAGTGGAGAGTTTTTTTTTTAAACCCACATTTTAAAACCAATTCATATTTGCTTTTAATTCATATGTACTGTGGCCAGAAAATATGTTCAATTTGCTATGAATTCTTTGGAGTTTGCATCCTTATGAAATGTTATATGCTTTATCTTTATAGTTTTTTTTATTAGTGGTATGATAAAATTCCCGTCATGAGTGGAGATTTGGCAAGTTTTTGACATTGTCAATTTTTGTTTTCTATCCCTTGAGGTTATATTGTTAGTTTCATATAAATTCATGCTTGCTATAAGTTCTTGGTGAATTTTTCTTTTTATTATTAATCAGTATCTCTATCCGGATCTATGTGCTTTCCACTTTAAATTCCATTTTCCCTCATAATAATATGGTTCCATCAGCTTTATTTTAGCAGTGTTTCCTGTCTTTTTTCCAATATATTTATTTACAAGCTTACTGTGTTACTAAGTGTGTACATTTATCATTTTAAATGTATCTGTTATATGCTGTATGTAGCTTATTTTTCCCCCAATCCAAGAGTCTCCTTTTTAAGCTAGTTCATTTATATTTATTGTGATTACTAATGTAATTAAACTTAATTCTAGCATATAATTTATACTTTCTATGTATCCTACTTACTCTATACTTCTGATCTATCTTTCCTATTCTTTTTTTTTTTTTTAAAGATTTTTATTTATTTATTTGAGAGAGAGAATGAGACAGAAAGCATGAGATGGGGGAGGGTCAGAGAGAGAGGCAGACTCCCTGCTGAGCAGGGAGCCCGACGTGGGACTCGATCCCGGGACTCCAGGATCATGACCTGAGCCGAAGGCAGTCGCTTAACCAACTGAGCCACCCAGGCGCCCCTATCTTTCCTATTCTTG